AAAAAAACTCAACAGCAGTGTCTCTTTGCAGAAACAATGACCCAGTTACTCAAGATATTTTTTAAGATACATTTTTGATTTTTGAGTGAACTGTCACTTTAAAATCTATTAGGATCAAACATGCAACACAACTTTTCTCCAGTACATCATGTTTTATACTGCAAACATTGTCATCCATCTTACCTTCATGACGGAGGTTTTTGAGGTTTTGTCAATCAGCCACGTGACTAATAAATCACAGTAATTTAAAAACAACATTCCAGTCATCTTTCAAGAGATTTTTCTGAACATAGTGTTATTCCTGTTTTTAGTAAAACATAAATGTCCATAAGTACAATAAATGCAGCTTTACAACCAACGTTTTTTACAAAATGCAGTATTTTATTTTTGCCTTTTGGTGGATAAACTGGTTGAATCTTAATTACTCAGTACAAAATTCCAAATTCTTTTCTTGTAAACTCATTTTTAAAACACGGTATAATGCTCTTACATCTCTTTCATCTCTCAGCAGTATGGACAGTGGTGGAGGAATTCCCTGGAAACCACACTTGAGTAGAAGTACATATTTCTCATCAGAAAATGACTTTGGTTGAAGTTAATGTCACCTATTAGAATATTACTTGAGTAAAAGTCTTAAGGTATCCGATATTTACTGTATTTGAGTTTTAAAAGTAATTTGTGATATTAAATGTACAAGTAAATGCAGGTAATAAAAAAGCAAGCTGTCAGAAGTTTGAGGATTATTTATTATTTATATATTTATTTCCCCTAAAAATGAACACCATGTTTAAAATGGAGGAAATGGAAGGTCGTTTTCACACCGTAAAAGATTTAAAGAACAAAATCCAGTTTGTCCTTCTCTCCCATTCCTTCATTCGTCCATCCATCCCTTCCTTCCCTATTTTATAGTAAGTTACTAAGATGCTTAGGGGAGTTATATCGCAGTAAAAGTTTACAGTTTATTTAGAAAATATGGACCAATACTGTTTATTAAAACTCAAATATAGCACAGATACTCCCAAAAAATATTCAAGTACTCTAAGTACTGAGTATGGAAACCAAAAGCCAAAAACAACCTCAGAGAGCACCCGGAGAAAAGCAAGTTAGTGGAAAACAAGCATGACAGAGAGATAAACTTGTTCAAACATGCATTTTTCCACTAATTGGTATTTTGTTGTTCGTAACATTTGATTTCATTTTGTTGACTCTGTCCTGTAACTTGTATTCCTGCCCTTATTATTAGTTTATTTTCCAGTAGTTTTCCAGTTTAATATATCATAAAATCACTGTGCCATTCTCTGAGTCATTACTCGTAGATTAAAATATTTTCAACGTCTTCATCATGTCCAAAACAGTGAAAGCTAAAACAAGACCAGTAGCAGTGCTGGAAGATACTCTATCACTTTTTCCAGATTCACAGCCATCCTCACTTTGAGCTTGTCTCCATGGCAACACAGACACAACACAGGCACTTGGCGTTGACTGAGATGTTACCAAACAGATCCCTGACCAAAAGAAAAGTAGGCAGTGGAGCCCACAGGGAGTCACACTGAGCCTCTGAAATGGACTCTGATGACTCATGCTCCCAGGATGCACTACAAGGGGCCGTGACAGATGACTGTGGCACGCCAGATTACACGCCAGTCCTCCACCGGGGCCTCAGCTCTAATGATTCACACTGCTCCACCTCTGCTGTTCAGGGTTAGATGTGTCGGCCTCGGAGCTCAAACAGTCGAGGTTTATCTTGCAGCGGTGATACAAACTGTAGATTGGAAGCAGATGCTGTCGTGTGATAAGCTCTGCTCTCTGTGTCACACACATGATTTATAAACTACTTCAAAGTTGTGCTGCTGAGGTGTATGAAAGGATTTTGCAATGCTGAGTGATCGCAGGCGTCTTTAGTATTATTAGAGTGTTAACTTTGTGGTTTTAGCTGTTAGTATCAGGTTTCATGGTGTTTATATAGCAGAGGAGCTCCATCTGTTTGAAACAAGAGAAGGAGTTACTAGTAGGATTATTTTCTAATGATCACAATTTTATCTTAAATGCTACACAAAGTTTTTAGACTAATTTTTAGGGGACATCACGGCAGTTATGTGCGCACACTTGTGGCAGAAAAACAGCGGACACCAGAGAGAAGCAGTTGAGATAGCTGTAATAAATATGTCTGTTTGTGCCGTTGTATGTCAGGACAGGATTTATATAAAAGATAATATTCATTTTTATAGAAAACCGTCACCGAAGATGCCATTTGAAGTTAAACAAAGACCTTCGTGGTTGCTAGAATTTGATTTAAAACAAAAAATCTGCAGCTGCAACCAGCCCAAACTCTAATGAAAAGACGACAAGTTAAGTTAGGGACTGTTGGTTATTTGTGAGAGGGGAGGGGTGGTGGAAAACACAGGAGGCATGTCAAATATTTTTTAAGCACTGGAGACAGACTTGTGTCTTTTATTTTGTCTTAGTGGAAGGACCAACTTTAAATGGTTGTATTTTGTATTTATTTTTAATACCGTCTGAACCCCAAAATCTGCCGGCGGGTTTGAAAGCATGTTTTCTTTAAAAATCGCCCAAATTACAGCTTTTAACGTAGCGAAAAATGGTAAAAACAGAAGCATAAAATAAACCTAAATAAATTTGCACGAACCTGATTCTGTGAAACATTAAATTCTGCGTTCCCACATGCATGACACACGTGGTTATTGACAAATCTGGTAAATAATGGTGGAGGGAGGGTCATGCATTTTCTCCCAGTCATTCAGGGAAAAAAAAAAGACTGTTAGCTTTGGGGAGCATCTAGATAAAATACTAATAATAATAAAAATAAAAACAGTCATACCCCACTAGGGCTGCAGCTAACGATTATTTTCATTGTTGACTAATCTGTCGATTATTTCTTCGATTAGTCGACTAATCATGAAAATGAAATGTTGAAAAATGTAGTCTGTCTCTCCCAAAACCCAAAATTATGTCATCTAATGTCTTGTTTCGTACTCAACCCACTCACGTTTTAGTTCACCGTCATGGTGAACTAAAACCGTACGACCGTAAGAAGCTGCAACAAAAGTATTTTGGGGTACTTTTATAGTATTTTTCTATAAAAAATGACTCAAACCGATTAGTCGAATACTAAAATAGTCACAGATTATTTTAATAATCGCTTAGTCATCGATTAGTTGACTAATCATTGCAGCCCTATACCCCACCCACCTTCCTCCTTCGATAAATACAAAACAGGCCTTTACAAGAATTTACATGAAGTTGGTTTTATTTTATATTTCACATAATACACAAATTTGTCTAAAAAAATAAGAGATTAACAATTCCCAGCTTTTTGTTGGAAAAACAGCACTGCATGGTACAGGCAAAGGTCTTTAAGATCAATACCACAGTGTCCATGACTTTGACCTTGTCCCAGTCGATGCTGTGACTGGTTTCGGTCTCGTGTTCACAGACTGCTGATGTTTGTTTTCAGTGTTCTCTCAGTCTTTTGTACAGAGTTTTTTATATATTTTTTAAGTTTCTGTTTCAAAACACAGACATTGTTCAATACTTTCTGTACCTTTTCATGTCCTCACGTGAATACTGAGACCAAAGAGATGACAAATGTTGGTGCATATTTACATATTTTGCTTGGTTTATAAAATGTCATAAAGCTGTGGAAAAACTCGAGACAGTTGTGAAATTAAATGGTAAATGGACCTTCACTTGTGTAGCACCTTTCTAGTCCTGTCTAAGTGCTTTAACACTACATGTCACATTCACCCACGGGTGGCCGAGGCTATTATACAAGGTGCCACTGGAAGCAGTTTGGAGTTCAGTATCTTGCCCAAGGCTACGTCCACATGTGGGCTGGAGAAGCCAGGGATCGACCACTGGTCTTCTGTTTAGTGGAGGACCACTTTCAGTTCATGAATTGGGTATATCAGTTCCCTAAAGCCCAAAGTTTCATCTTTAAACAACTTGTTTTGTCTGAGCAGCTGTCAGAAACCGAAACACATTCAGTTGACTTTCACATGAGACCATTCTCACAACTGAGAGACCAGAACTGTGAAAATATTTGGCATCTTTGCTTAAAAAATAACTAGAAAGATAAATTGTTTATCAAAAAAAAAGCAGATCAATTCAGTGGTGAATTCAGTTCAGTTTCGTTGATAAAGCCCTTGACATCAGAGGCTTTACAGCATACAACATCCCTCTGTCCTTTGGATCCATCGAAGTGTTTGATTTATTTTCTGTTAATCAATTAATCGCCTACTTGTTGCAGCTCCACTTCAGAGCTTTGTCTTGTAAAGTAGAGGCTCAAGAACGATCTGGTTTCACTCCTAATCTGTCAGAAGTCACTCAGATTATTTTTCTTCAAAGTGAAGTTTAGTTTTGTAACTCGCCGATTAGTTTCTGTTGTGTAACGTCCAGCGGAGCTAATGCAGGTTACACGCATGACATGTTGTTGACAGCCGTGATGATGACTAAAGCTGTCAACATCTTCTCAGTGTTCCTTAGTGGCTTGTTGCATTTTTGTTTTTCACATCCAGGAGCAAACAACAACAACAAAATGCAGCGATGGTGACATGCAAACAGCCTACAGAGCTCGCTTTCATGCAACAAGCGGCTTGTGTTAATTCCCTGTTTGGGTATCTAAAGGCTGCAGCTTGTATTGTAGTGCCAGTTATCCAGTAAGCTCTGTTTAGTAACAAGCTATTGTTTGTTTGTGCACGGCCACGCACATGATTCACAGAGTATGAGTCACAGGGAGAGACCTAAAAGAAGAGCGCCGGTCACACAGATGGTCATAATTAAAGGGTTTCATCCCAAAATGAGATGTCGGGCATTTTTAACTCGACGTTCCGCATGGTAACGATGGCATCTTTCCTCCGTCTTTAACTCCCTCTAATCTGCTCAGAGCAGATATTTGAAGAGCTTGTTCCAACATGAAAAATCCACCACTGCTTGTAGCTCAGGATATCAGCAGCTTATTCCTTGTGTCCTCTGTCTCGTAGAGCTCGACGCAGGAGATCGGCGAGGAGGCCGAGGAGGATGCCATCTTCACCATCACGCTGAGGAAGGTGCAGCTTCACCAGTCGGCCAGTAAGGGGCAGCGATGGCTGGGCGTGGAGACGGACTCGGCCCTGAGCCTCTACGAGACCTGCAAGGTGCGCACCATCAAGGCCGGCACGCTGGAGAGGCTGGTGGAGTACATGGTGTCGGCGTTCAGGGGCAAAGACTCCACCTACGTCACCATCTTCCTCTGCACCTACCGCTCCTTCGCCACCACCAAGCAGGTGCTGGATCTCCTGCTCAACAGGTAACGTGTCTGTGCACGCCGTGGGTGGTAAATGTTTGGGGTCACAAGATGATTTTATTTTTTTCAGATTTTTCTTAAATTTAACCTCTTTGGTCTCTGAAATTCATTTTGTAGAAACAATGTGAGAAAGAAAAATCACTCTAGTTCATGTTGTTCTAAGGCCTTTTAACAGGGTGTTGGCGTCCTTAAAAAGTCTTACATTCAATTTTTATAAATTTTTGTACAAAAAGCCATTAAATAGTCTTAAATTTGATTCAAAAGAGGGCTGATGTGCTTCTTCCTTTAATTTAGTCCTCATTTGAAATGTTACAAAAGATGCGTTTTGCCCATGGCTTCATCAGGTTCATCAGAGTGTGGGTGAAACGTGTTGTTTGTAATATTTCAAATGAAGATTAAATTAGTGTTATCTGCTAATTTCCTATCAGTCTGATGTTTCCTGCCATCACCTGCACCAAGTTATAAAGACTGACAGCGCTGTGCACGAGGCATGTGCTTCTGAACGAGTCTTAGATTTTAATTTGTGACATCTAAATCACCACAAACATTTTAACTTTTGTCATTTATCCATCTTTTAATTTTCTCTTTTCAAGAGTCGAGCTCTTCTGTGTGAAAGTCCACATTTCTGATGTTGCAAATCTTTAAACCTACTGCTGAACCTTATATTGTCTTTACTTTATATCTGCACTGATCTGTTGGCAAAAATGTGGATTCACCTAACTCACTCTTATAACCATATTCCTACATTAAAACTACATATATATACTACTTATCTTTATACTTATCTGCAATGCTTGAATAAGAAAAAGACTGGTTGTTGAAAAAGATCAGCCTTAAATGTGGTTAAAAAATTATGTTGAAGTGTTGCATTTAAGTTTCTTGATACCTGTAGACACTCTGTTTAATTATAAAAGGTCACAAGCCAAATAATTTTGGGAACAACTGCTGAAAATGAGCATAAAATGCTTAATAAAATTGCAAAGTTTGCATCATCCTCAACAATGAATAAGCAGTTCATAAACATTGTTCCCTTTTTGGTACGTCTTTTGCCTGTGTATTTTTTCTGTCTTTTTAAAATTCGGGAGCTGCTACTAAAAAAAGATAACAGAAGAAAAGATGAGATGTTTTGTCCTCAGAAAAATCAGCAGCTAGGGTTGCAATGGTATAAGATTATCACGGTGCGATAACTGTCTCAGAAAATATTGTGGTTTCACTATAACTATTTAATGACATAATAAGGTTTTATGATGAAACCTGATTGGTCGCTGATGCACAGCGTCATCTATCATTAAACTGACTCACTTGTGTTTCTCTTTTTTGTAATTTTATTCAATTTAGGTCAGTTTAACATCATTTTCCACAAATACAATCACACTTTAAAGCCGTCTGTGAAAGACGATCTATTTTTGAGCGTGAGAGATAAATTTAATTGCATATCTTAAACAATCTTAATGCACTAATATATGTTTATTTTTTTACTTTAGTGTCCTTGTCTTTTGATTTTATTCCATACATCAGCTTTGCTTTAATCTTTATTTTTAACACGACTGTTATTAAACACGTTGAATGGAAATTTGATGTGGTCATTAAAGTTAAAACACACATAGTGACACCAGCTGGTGGATTTTAGCTGTTGTTTGTACAGCTGATAATGAGGGGGATCTCCAGCTATGATTTATTGTTGGCTGATGAATCTGTTACAGTCGGTTGAAGTTTGTAAATGACGTCTAAGTACAAACGTGTGCCAGATGTGAGACGTGTAACATTTACTTTCTTTTCTTAAAAGTTGAATCAAAGCAGAAAATCATGAACACAGTAATATCTCTACTTTTAGATGGTGTGTGTTTTTACACACTGCTCACACAGGTTGCTCTTTATTTTAAGTTTAGTGCACGCTGTGTTAAAATGAAACTAATTCTTTCCATCAGAATTTGAACGTTGCTTTTATAATTAAAACCCTGCGGAGCAACGCTGATGTTGTGTTTCTGTTTTAGGTATGCCAAGCTCCCAAACGTCCCTGCAGCCACAGCACACAGAGTCTCCCAGGACGACTGCACAGAGCTGAGAAAGTGAGTGTGCTGCGACCTTCAGTGTGGAGCTGCCAACATTAATCACTGAGTACATTCCCACTCCTCCATGACTTAAAGGGATATCAGCAGAGTTTAAAGCTTCAGCAGATTAATTTTCTCTGTGAGACACCTGTCAGACCGCTGCTGCCGGAGATGATAAAACACAGTTAGTGAACTGATAAAGATATAATAAATCACAGAAAGATGCAGGTCTACAAAAGTGACAGTGGTTAAAGAAGTACTCTGATCTTTTACTCAAGTAAAAGTAGCAATACTTCAGTGTAGAAATACTCTATTATAAGTTAAAATTTGAGTCATAGTACAACAGTATTAGCATCTGAAGTAGTAGCAGGTACTTGTTATGCAGAATGGCCCATGTCAGAATGATATTGGATCATAATTATTGATGCATTAATGTGTTCATCACTTTCATGTTGCAGCTGGTAAAGAGCTTATTTTAGCTCGTTAGCATCACTAGGGTTACCATTATTCATAAGAATTAAGGGAGCAGTATGTATGTGAATATTTTCTCTAAAGGACTAATTCAACATTTTGGGAAATATAATTAACTTAAGTAAAATTTTCCCTTTAAGCTAAGCTTGGTTTACCACATCCTGACTCCAGCTTTATACTTAAAGGTCCAGTGTGTTGGATTTAGGGGGAGATATTGGCAGAGATGGAGTATAACATAATAAGTATGTTTTCTGTAGTGTATAATCACCTGAAAATAAGAATTGTTGGGTTTTTGTTACCTTAGAAAGAGACGTTTATATCTACATAGAGAGCAGGTCCTCATCTACAGAGATTGTCATGTATATATATATATATATATATATATATAGAATACTTTATTGTCATTCACATACACATAGACACAGTGCACACTGAACGAAATTTTGTTGCATTGACTCTTCAAATAGCAAAAATATCAACATGATCAGTCGATCAGTAAAAGTGCTTTATGTGCATGTTGCGCTGCCATGTTTCTACAGTAGCCTAGAATGGACAAACCAAACACTGACTCCAGATAGGGACACTTGTGTTATCGTATTTTTGCATTTTCACGTTTTCGTGTCGGCCATTTATTTAGTAATTTATTTATTTTTCTCTTTTTCTGAGTAATTTTTTCTGTTTTTTTGTGGTAATTTTTATCTGTTTTTCGGGGTATTTTTTTCTCTGGGGTTTTTTTTTTTTTTTTTTTTTTTGGTAATTTATTTCCTGTTTCTCGTGGTAATTTTTTTCCTGAACGAGGAGACGAGATACTTGAAAATCTTGCGAGAAGCTCCTGCTAGCTACCTGCAAGTGACCCTCCGAAAAACAGAAAAAAATTACTCAGAAAAACAGGGATTTTTTTTATTTGTCCAGTGAATGCAATACGCCTCTGTACTTCTGCAACTAGCAACATTGGAAAAAACGCAGATTTTTTTAACGTGAAAGTAATTTATTCAGTGATTTTAGCGGTTTAAATCTCTGGGTTTGTTTGTAGGCCTCTGCAGATAACTCAGCTTTACTGGTTTGAATCACCTGGTCCGTTTGTTTTGGAGAGGAAGAGACCTCTGTGAGAATTCAGCTCCTGATTAAAAACCTCTTGAACAATGACGGAATTCAAACTGGGATAAATTTCAGCTGGTTGAAATCTACAATCCTTACTGCTGGATGCCACTAAATCTCTGTAAATCTAACACACTGCTCCTGTAATGCACACACATGATAGATTTTCTCATCTCACTCTCTGAAAGAATGCAAACTATTTCTCTCAGAAGGTTAGCTTTCCTCACCTAAAGGAATTTATCAGCTTAAAATCGTGCCTCAGATTTCATAATTTGTATTCCTCATTTTCTTGTGTGTGTGTGTTGCAGCACTGTGTCGTCCATCCTGGGCGCGTGGCTGGACCAGTACTCCGAGGACTTCTGGAGCCCGCCGAACTACGACTGTCTGCACCAGCTCATGTCCTACCTTCACCTCCACTTCCCCGGCTCGGACCTGGAGCGCCGCGCCCGCAACCTGCTGGCCCACTTCCACCGCCGACAGCAGTGTGAGCCTGATCCTGATGGTATGAAGGCAGGACAGGAGAGGGACAACAGGGCAGGGAGTCCAGAAAAAAAACTGAAGTCAGGGTCAATGTAGAGATGTAGTTTGGAGAGAAAGGCTGGATTAGGTTTTGATAGAGACACAGAAAATACTCCACTACGAGTAAAAGTCCTGCATTTAAAACCTTACTTTAGATACTGTTGGGTAGTTTAATTCAAAATCTCTAAGGATCGGTTCAGACCAAAGATTTGCGACGAGAAGAAACCATTTTAGAACAGTGCAGAGAAAAGTTGCAGCAGTGTGAACTGCCTGTTTCAACTCATCTCGTCGCAAATCTTTGGTCTGAACTGGACGTTAAAAGTCAGAACAACAGCCTGTTTCCAGCTTTGTAACGATGCATTTTCCAGCTGATCCAAGACAGTTTTTAAAGAGTTTATTTAGTTTAAGAAGGAGGAGAATTTTCTCAGCACATAAAGGAACATTCCAGTACAATATTTACCTCTGAGATGTAGTGAAGTAGAGGTTGCAGTATAAATCTCAAATCTGTGCCTGAGTAGAGTATGTGAGGACCTAAGTTACGTTCCACCGCTGGATTTTGATTGTAAATAAGTCTTGTGTGAGAGCAAACAAGTTGTCCTCATGTTCAGCTCCACATCTCATGTCCGTTCACATGTTGTAATAGTGGCACCAAAGAACAGTTTGCTTGTCCAGGTGATAAGGACTCGCTGGCAGTCACTGTCAGCACACATGAGATTGAGCACTGAGAGAAACCCTGAAAACAAACACCAAGGTCACAGCGAGGATGAGAAACAGCAGCAGAGCAGGAACTGTGTTCAGCTTGAGCTCAGGTTGAGGCAGCATTGTAAAAAAAAAGATGTTTTTTTATTTAATCTCTTCAGGGGAACACATCGGCTGCCCTTTCGCTACGCAGGAAGAGAGCGGCTTTGAGGACGAGCTTCCTGCCTTCAGTTTCCTGTCGTTTGACCCCATCATGGTGGCAGAGCAGTTCACACTCATGGACGCGGTGAGGATGTTTCTCCTTTCCCTTATCAACAGGTTTACTCTCCTTTAACCTCGAGAGTTTTACACACAGTTTGGCATTCAAATCAGTAAATGGTAGGTCAGGTTTTTAGGTCCTGTAACTAGTGATCGATTCAAATTTTCCAAAACTTTCTCCAAAAATTGGTGCAACCAATTATGTGTTATGCAACCGATAGCATCCTTTTGTGAGGCCCTCTTCCTGCTCAATTCCCACGTGTTTTAAAACTGCCTCCATACCCCCCAGAGCCTCTCCGGAGCCATTGAAGACATTAGAGATCTTTATTTCATCATGTCATCACAACTAACTGCTGTCACATGCTGATCATTACTCCTAATCAAAGTCAAAAATCAATCTGTGTTTAATTATCCTTTAAAACAGCCTCTGTCTGAAACCACATGTTTGAAATGACTGGTTTGGTCCTTAAACTGTTTTGTTAATGTGTCTTAGGACCTGTTTAAGAAGGTGGTGCCGTACCACTGCCTGGGGGGGATCTGGTCTCAGCGGGACAAGAAGGGGAAGGAGCACCTGGCTCCCACTATCAGAGCCACTGTGGCCCAGTTCAACTCCGTCACCAACTGTGTCATCACCACCTGCCTGAGCAACCCGGCGCTGAAGCCCAACCAGAGAGCCAGGCTGCTGGAGAGGTGGATAGACGTGGCGCGGGTCAGTTTATTTCCCATTCAGAAATTATTTAATGGGATGATGAACAGCTGGTTGCTCATCAGACTGAAGGAAACAGTGTTTGTCGTATCTGTGTCTGACTTTATGTTCCTGTTGTGTTCAGGAGTGTCGGATTCTAAAGAACTTCTCCTCGTTGCGAGCCATCCTCTCCGCCCTGCAGTGCAACGCCATCCACCGCCTGAAGAGGACCTGGGAGGAAGTGTCACGGTACGTTTCTCAGTCATGGTTCAACAGCAGATGCATGTTCACACAGACTGAATATCGTTGAAGTCAGAGGAGCTGTTGGGCTCTTTGTTTGTTTTTCATGCACTGACCTCTGCGTCTGTCCACAGGGAGAGTTTCCGCACCTTCCGCGAGCTGTCCGAGATCTTCTCAGACGACAACAACTACTCCCTCAGCAGAGAGCTGCTGGTGAAGGTGGGTCAACAGCAAACACAGACACAAGCAGCTCATGTGTTCTCTTAATAGTAGGGCTGGGGGAAAATAGATACAGCATAGTATCGCAATATTTTTGTGAGGCAATATCTTATCATAACACAGTGCCAAGCATATTTTTTTTAATTGAATAAATGATTATTATTATTACAAATATATAGTAAACTTTAGGAAGCCCACTAAAATAATATAATCAGTGCATTTTCAGTCCATTAGATACATTTTTCTGCTGCAAAAAAATCTTCTATCTTACTAGATAAAACTGATGTTGAGTTTTCCTTTGGGGACACAATTTACAACTCAAAAAAGGTAATAATTAAGCAATATCACACGAGAGGGAGTGATGTTGTACTGTGATATCGTCACGGCTGTGATTCGGTCGTAGGCACGAGGCCGCAGGCCGAGTTCAACAGTTAAATAAGCAAGGCTGATTAAGAAATGTTGAAAAATGAGGACAAAATAGATAATTTAAGCATTTTATTTGTCTTCCGCCAACAAAAATAGTTCCCTCAGGACTCCGCTGTCACCGTTGCTATGTAACGCAGACATGGTGCACCAGGCACTTACTATTTATTCACATATATCTGCACGTTTCCATTAATTGTGCAGCCGGTGAAATAAGTCTCTGGTGACTGCATGGTGGACTGTGGCTTCACAGGCACAGCCGACTCTGCCTTCTGATCTAACACTATGTTGCTTTTCTCCAAGTCATTGAGCTCCGCTGATGAAACACTGACAAACCTGGATGTGTGCTCAGATGGATTCAGCTTCTCCTCTCCCTCATCTTCCTCTGATGACCATTCATAGTTCATTTCAAAACTTATTTTAGGAAATAAATCCATATTTTTGGCTGTTTGACAGTGGATGAATTAATTAGCCTACAACGCAACTGCTGACCTAACTGACACTAACTGTCAGTTTTGATTTGATTGTTGATTGCAATCAGCTGTGAGGCGGAGTGATACATACACAGTGAAATAACCGTGATGTTGTACTCCAATATCATCACCGTTTTACTGTCTCTCGACCAATCAGATTGCAGGGCCGGAACTAACTGTTGTATAAATCACAATATATCACAGTTTATTTGATCGCAATACTCGCAAGATATTTAAAATCACAATGATATTGTATCTTGACCCCTACTTATTAGTGACTTTAAATATAAAAAATATCAAGCTAGGTAATTTTTCCATGTGAAAATAGAGGCAATAAAAACTAGTTTCACTCACTTTTAGGATTTTAAAAAGATCTCTGCTGGTCTACTGATAACTATATTTTTTTTTTAAAAAATGTAGAAATTCAAATTAACGTTATAATCAATATTGTGATATACTGTAAGATTCAATATTTTCTTGGATCTAGTTATTGTCATATTGATATACTGTAAATCCTAAATATTAGAACACATATTACACAGAACAGTATTGCACATCAACCACTCATGTGTTGCACATAACACCAGCACATGACAGAACACCATAAACAGCATATATTATACTGATGATGATGATGGTTGCATGATGCGACAGAGGAGCTGCAGAAAATTAAATAACAGCCCAGAGATGGAGAGACGTAAAGTGTTTTCTCTCACTCAGCCCTTTTTAATCAGCCAAACCGTTCAATCACTCCGTGTGAGTTATATAACACCTGAGCGTGGCAGCTGAACAGATGGCAGCAGGATGTATGGCTTCATGACCCGTCCCGTCGCTGAACTTCCTCACGTCTGTTTCGTAACAGCTGCAGAGAAACATCCTGCAGGGGAGAACGCCTCGTACCATGTTCTGTTGGATCACAGCATCCATATATTACTGGTGATGTCCTGGGTGGGCTCCGTGCAGCTGACAGATTGCTGTCATCATTACTGTGATTTGTGGAGGTTAATGTAGAGAGGCGATGACACCTTCTCGTACTGACGCCCTCGATACAAGGACAGCAGGGAAATGTGACTGAACAGAAAATGAGACATCACGTCTTTATGTTCCGTATACTGGCCTGCTGGTGTCATGATAAGTGAAATAAATGGTTAGTTTTCAGTTAGAAATATTCAGCAGACAATTTACGTTGAAACTCGTACTTCTTCTTGGAGGCATAACTCAGTCAAATCTGATCACACAGACATGATACACATATTTTTAGGTTCAGCGTGACTTATACTTTATTATTATTATTTTAGTTTCTTCAGTATCAAAGTACTCCAGTGACCGTGTGTCCATACATCCATTGGTCCGCTGCAAACAGGAGCTGCTATTAGCTAATTGTCCATTTCACATTACTGTAATGTAGTAATTTGATTGATATAGATTCACCAAAACCTCATTCCTCTTTCGGTCGTTATATCTTAAGACTGTTAATCATAATAAGCATGATTATGATATAAAATTAGGCTCATTGGTTCAAACTGAAAACATGCATCTTTTAACAGGTCACAAATATGTAGATTCACGTAAAGGCTAGAAAAGTGCACTGAGTCGAGTCAGATCTTTGCCAGAGCTGATCACAGCCAGTCTGGACTCCTGAGTGCACAGCTGCTCCTGGTGAAAATGTCCCTCCTTGCACCCTTACAGTCAAGATGGCGGCTAAGATAACAAAGATGGTCTTTTATCCATCTCGTATCGTGCCTAACTTCGGTATTCAGTGTGCTCAGGTTCACAGTGAGACCAAACTCTCCTGTGAATGTTTTTGTGTTTTTAGCCATGATGAAGACCAAAATGTGGCGTGCATGAGGCGATGAAGCTTGTTGTTTTCAGCCGAGCTGTTTCAAGGAACGCCTTTCGCTCTCTGCTTTTGCTGCATGATTTTGTTGAGGACCTGCAGACCCTACTGGCTAGCTAAGTAGAGTGAGGAGTGAGAAGTCAGTGACGGTATAAAACAGTCAATAAAACAAGTTTTTCAACAATCATGTATCACTGCAAAAACCAGAGATCCTTGAGCTGCAGTCATAAATGTGAACACTAAATATTAGACTGATAGAGTAATATGCAAGATAAGCTGCAGACAGATGGGTTGAAAGATACACATACGCGTGTACACATGACCAAACACATGACTGAGAATTTATGTCATCAGGACGGTGTATTGTCCTTAAACACTCGTTGGATTTGAACATCAGAGTTTAAGCAGACGTCTGTCTTCCCATTCACATATATATCTTTGCACTGTGTCAAAATAAAGAGATGGTGAATGTGTTATCACCTGTTTATAAACCTGAGTTATTGCTGATGTAACGGTGAGCGAACACCCCGGGCTTCGTGTTAGGGAATCCCCGCTGACGTCAGAGGGCGGAGGAAACCCGTGGCAGGTGCAGATAACAGCTCTGATCTGGCGTCTGCGTAAGAGAACACCTCGGGGCGTCGCCTCTCTCGCTCTATCTGCTCAGACCAGGCTGCGTTCAGTCAGCTCAAGTTACCGAGTGCTGCAGAGGGCCTCTGAGTATTACATCACTCTGAGGAATGTGAGCAGGAGGTGGATTCCCCCAACTTCTCTCTGAGATGGGGTTTTGAAGAACAGGCAGCAAGAAAGTGTGGTTACATTCATGTTGATGTTCGTGCTTTGTAATCACAGAAATCACGTTTTCACACATCTGAATTAAACTAACAAATGTCACAGTGCTTCTCATATACTTTTATTCATATAGGGCCATAAAAACAGAGTTCAATTAAACATCCATGAAAGGAGGTTCCCGCTTCCACAGAGACCTGAACATCCAGGCTAAAATATCTCATGTTAAAACAGCACAAACAATATCAACATCAAACTTTATTTGTCATGAAAAACAACAGTAGTTTAGTCGGTTCACACAAAAGTCCATCGCTGTATTCTCAGAATTAAAGACACAGCCTGTGAAAACACTTGCATCATTTATTCTGGGGTTAACGAGGAGCTTTGTGGAACTTGGAGAGCAACAAATATAAAACATAAAGCCTGTGTTACAACAAAGAGGGACGTCTAACAAATTGTTGCTGAGTTGCATTATGGGAAATGTAGGATTCCACGTTCTTGTTGTTTTACCCGTTCTAGGAACTCAAGTCAGGATATCTACCACCTCTATTTTAGTTCACATTAACACAAAAATTCTCATTTCAGTCATGGATTCATCGCTGTATTTTCAAAAGTGAGGGGGCACTAGTACTAAGCCACTGAAAACTGCTGTATTATGTACTGTCAGATCTTTGAAAATAGAGAGAGGAGGACTACTGGGAGATGACGGCATTTATAGAAAGCCTCTGTTACAACTTAAAGATGTGGGGGAAGTCTAAAAAATGTTAGTCAGTTGCATTATGGGAAATATAGGATTGTTATAGGGGATTGTAACAGAGTGGTGCAGGAATGAGTCCAAAAACGTGGAAATGAGTTAGCATTGTAGCACTCACTGTTCCCTCGTCTCAAAGTCAGTAGGTTTTTGGTCAGATGCCTGAAATAAGGTCTGTGTTAACACAAGCTGAAGAGACTTTCACATTTTGTTCAACGACTTAAAATATGTCAGTAAATGCCACTCGTGACAAGTAGCTAAATGAAACTATAGATCGCATCACTTCGAACACGGCTTTACAGCCTCGTTGTGGTGGCTATTTTAAGTCATGCGACTGTGATGTACTCTGCTTAAAGCCTAATGTTAGCTTCCAAAATCATGAAAGTGGTGTTAGTTTGTGAACAAAACATGCAAGTATCATAAATGTGTGTTTGCCACAGAGCTTATTTTCTGCAATAATCCAAAATCCAATGGAAAAATCCCATTGGCTTTTTGACGAGGGTACAGGGGCATCACTAATGTTTGCAGTGGCCTACGATTAACGTCATCTCTGCAGCTCTATATTGTAGATTAAAGTCAGGATATTTACCACATCAGTCTTGACTGTTCCTTTAAATGTGTCGCCCACTTGTTGCTTAGCTTTGGGGAAGTGAAGCACCAAATTTGTTGGAGTACCACTGTAAGCATCCACATGATGTGAGCTGTTGAATAATACTGTTAATTATTCTGTCATCAATATCTGATTATGGTCATACAGTATATGTGATTTTTATTTTGTTTGTCAGATAATATCAATGTCAAATTTGCAGCAGATTAAAGGGAGCAGGATTTCTTTATCAAAGTTGGATATTTATTCTATTAAATTAGGTAGATTTATTATATATAATATTTTGGTTTACACAACCTGCATAAAGGTTGTGTTGACTGAAATGTCTTTAATATACTTTATAAACCAGCTTTGAGTGAGACAGTTTGTCACTCAAATTTTGTCAATTGAATTAGACGTTTTGTAAAAAGCCTGAACTGTTTTGCAGCTGCACAAAGATTAATGGTTGTCTCAATTGACGTGACAATGACACATCAATTGGGAAATTATTTTTAAAAACACGCTGTTACTTCTGTATTGTTGTTCTTATTCAGATGTGGTGCAGGGTATAAAGCCCTCAAGGTGAAATGTGTGAAACTGTTGCACTTTATTTCTTTGTCAATTTATTAGACATAGATCCACTGTGCTGTTGTTTATCTGCAGGAGGGCACCTCGAAGTTCGCCACTTTGGAAATCAACCCCAAACGAGCTCAGAGGAGACATCAGCAGCAGAGAGACCTGGTGAGTCCACACACTGAAACACCAGAGGGAAAGAAAATAGTGTCCTCATCACAGAGCTTCTGACTCATGTTTTTACACTCACACACTCTGCTGCCTCCAACGCTGAACAATACACTGTATTAATACTGTGCCAACAGCCTCATCTAGTGGCAGGTAGAGTCACTGCAGTTTGGCAGGGAGAAGGAGAACAAATACTCCATATTTAGACTGTTATTTCTGACATAAACCTCTCAAAGTGTTTTGACCTTTAGCTGATTTTTCTTCCTACCTGTAGTGCTGTTTATCAGTCTAGATTTTTTTTTGGTGTGAGTTGTTGAGTGTTGGAGATATCGGCTGTAGAAATGTCTGCCTCTCCACTATATAATGGAACTAGATGACACTCAGCTTGTGGTGCTCACTGCACAGAAGGGGGCGTGCATCTACTCATGGACAAGAGATGTCCTCAGCTGAGTTGTAATGTTAGCTAGCTCAGTGGTGCTAGGTGAGCTAGCAGTAGATGCACGCCTCCTTTTGCACCTTTTTTTGGGGTGAACTGTCCCTTTGAAATAGCTGTAATGGTAGAGAGACAATGATTTTACTTCCGAAATACGGACCATTGAAAAATTACTGTACCATTACAGTAAAATATGCAGCTGGTATCAGGAGAAATGTATTTATACCGCTCTGAGGAAAGTGTTTTTGTTTTTTAGCAACTCTACATTAAAAAAGTCCCAGCTTCCTCCATGTTATATAATTCAGTCTGTCCTCTGTGAACAGGGAGTGATGCAGGGGACGATTCCCTACCTGGGGACCTTCTTGACAGACCTTGTGATGATGGACACTGCCATGAAGGACTACACTGAGGTCAGTCACCTGACCTGTCACGTTTACTATGATACTGTTTGTATTTACCCTTATTTTATTTATTTTTTTAACCATCATTGCCTCACGATTTTAAATCGGTTTATTTCAGGGTGGTCTGATCAACTTTGAGAAGAGAAGAAAGGTGAGTTTAATTTCATATTCAGCTGTAAGGGTCTGAAAAACACATTAGAGCTGGTGTTTTCTTTAAAGCAAAGTGGCTTTTTAAAAGTTTGGAACAGACAAACAGATTGAGTTTTAGTAATATTTTATTGGGAATAATAGTGGTGTATAGAAACATACCAATACAGTGCAAATGGAAGTTATTGTCACTCCATTGACTGTCTCCTGCTCTCCTTTCTACCTGCAGGAGTTTGAGGTGATCGCTCAGATCAAACTGCTCCAGTTGGCCTCCAACAACTACAGTTTCACTCAGGACAGCCACTTCAGGGAGTGGTTCGCAGGCGTGGAGAAACTCAGCGAAGCAGAGAGGTTAGTCGGTCTGTTTCCGTCTCTGTCTCAACAGCAGTGTGTCCATCTCTGACAAGAATATCTAATGAAGACCACCAGATAATCTAACTCAACATGGTGCTGAAGGACTCTAGTTACTGCTGGTTGTTCTCCTGTAAGATTAGTTTAAACAGGATGAGCTCTTACAACTGGAACTGGGAACATCAACTAGTGTTGTTGCTGATTCTGAATATTTTAAAATGGTTTCAGTACTCATTTTCTGTGGTATTGATAGGCAATCCAGTACTCCAGAAATATAGAACAATTAGGCTTAATCCCTGACGAAGATCTGCAGCAGTCGAAACATGTTGGCTGTTTTAATGAGCACCTCGATCGCCTTCCTGTGTCTCCTGTTGTTTAACGTTCTCCACGAGCACCCGACACAAGGTTTTGATCTGCGTTTGAATAAACAGAGCAACCAGTCATCTCTCTTTGTCTAATTTTATAGATGTACTTCTGTTTTGCTAAAGGGAAAACATTATGTACATGCAGAATTTCGGGAAGTCTGTGCAGTGATGCAACCACTGACATCCAGTGTGTCGACATCCAATATGAGCTCCCCCCATTTGACCGTTAAGACTGAAAGACATGAGCATGTTTGTGGAAGCTGTGCTCTGAAGCGCGGTGCTGCAGAGAAACAACAGAGCATTTAGGAATAAAGACGCTGTTGGTCAGAGGACGGCAGCGAGCACTTTAAAATAATTGAAAGCAATTTAAAAATGACGGTAACACTCAGGGAAAGTGGTGAAATCCACCGGGAGCGTCTGAAACTATAGACAAATTATATTCATCATCTAAACATAAACAAGACAAAGTATTAAAGCTGCAGCAGGCGAAATATATAAAGCTGGTATCAGGATGAATGACAAAACACAGCCCACTGATTCTGACTCAGCAGATTTTGTATTAAATAATTCAGACCAGTGAAGTGATGATCCAGCACTCAGGGTGGTGATGTGTTTACTGACACATCGGTGCAATGAATTGGCAGGAGGGCTTTGAACAACAAGGTCGTCCTGTCTTATCATTGAGATAAATTCAGATTAACATTGTCATCATCGTCCTGACTTCCTGTTCCTGCAGCTACAATCTGTCCTGTGAAATCGAGCCTCTGTCTGAGTCGGCCAGCAACACGCTCAGAGCCAAGAAGAACGGAGGAATCATGAAGCGCTGGAGCGAGTGAGTGACAGTTTTGATCAAAACTGAGCGCTGTTGTGTTTTGTGTTTTATATTATTGTACATGTTTTACAACTCAAATTCTAATCAGAACTCTGGTATCATGAGTTAAACTCCTCATTGTGTTATTGTTTCACTTCCAGCCGGCAGTTGACAGAGGCCGGCTGCAGCAGCGCTCCAGGCTCTCACTCCAAGTCCTTCGACCACTCGCACTACAGACCGTACCAAGGAGGAGGAGGGGACAGCGGCGACGCTCTCAGCGTCACCTCCGTCAGCTCCAGTGGGTCAGACCTGGAAGACGTGAACGCCAGCTTCCTGTCAGATTCTCCAGAGGGACATGAGAGAAAGGTGAGGATGAGAGAGACAGTATAACAGTATTTTATAGTGGTGGAACATTTTAGGTACTTTACTTGAGTCTTTTTATGACACTTTCTCCTTCTACAACATTTATCTGACAACTTTAGTTACTGTGCAAATTAAGATTTTGCAAACAAATAATACAAAGAGCTTATAAAGTATGTGTTATAAATTACAGCTCAAACAGTTAGTCAATTAATCAACTCGTCAACTGACTGAAATTAATTTCTATTCAAGTCATTTTCCTGGTAAAATCATTCCATGGTTGCAGCTTCACAAACTTTTCCTTTGAATAATGTTAGTAATTGTAATGTACAGTAATAATGTTGAGGTTCAACAAACATAGTGAAGGTGTCACTTTAGGCTCTGGGTCATCGTGACAAGCATCTCTGGCCATTTTCAAAACTTTTTACAAATCAAACAATCACTAATTAATAAAGAAAATAATCAGCAGATGAATCCAAAATGAAAATAATCATTAGGTATTATTTCAACATGAGCTCCACCTCAAACAACTACACCAATAAAGTCTTGCATTTACATGAATGCATGAGTCAGAATCATCTAATGAGATCAGATATTATAGTATAAAAGTCACATGTAACATACTTTAATAATTTAAGTACATTTTCCTGATTATAGTTAAGGTACTTTTACCGTAGTGAACTGACTGACTGACTTTTAATAATAATAATAATAATAATAATAATAATAATAATAATGAATAAAATAAAATACATTATTTTATTTTATTTTGTTTTGTTTTGTTATAGGTGCTTTTCAAAGCCCTCAAGGACATCTTTCAAGACACAGTTAAAAAACAAGCACCAATCTATCCATACATCATAAAATTAAAGAAAGCAGTCATATACAAATATAAGGTCATAAATTAACCAGTCAAAATTCGTGATTATAAAAAGTAGCTATAAAATCATCATCATGAAGTCGTCATCGCAATTGTCGTAATTGTAGTGGAGTATTTTTACATTGAAGTATTAGTACTTTTACTTACTTAAGTAGTTACATACTCACTCCACCACTGGTTATTTTATATTAAAATACAAGAAGAGTCAGCCAGAGAAACCTCAGCTGATGTTGTGTTGTTTTCCTGGTTCTGACATCATCTCTCAGCAGCCAATTAGATGCTCGTGTTGCTTGTTCACCTGTGTGGCTGTTTGTTGATGGCTCCTCTCTCTCTCTGTAGACGTCAACTCCTTCAGTGAAACTCACCGTCTCTGCTTTGGGGAGAGACGCTCCACCAGCAGATACAACGTCAACGGTAACAAGTTTTACTTTTTCAGACGTGTTAAGAGATGGCAGTATCACAGCGTATGAACTATTTTTAACTATAATAACATACATTACTGAGTGCTTGATATGTCCAGTGTTATTCTGTTATTTGCTGGTTATTGTTTGGTTCCAGCCTCTCAAATATGATGATTTTGTTTGTGAATTTAATTTCTTTGGGTTTTGGACTGTTAATCTGACAAAACCAGTCCTTTTGGGACATCACCTTTGGGCCCTGTGAAGTTTAGTGGATAATTCTTCACTGTTTTCTCACATTTTAAAACGCAGTAAATCAAGTTTTAAGTTTTAGTTGTCACATACTCAACATGTCTCTACAGTGTACAGTGAGATGCTTTGTTGCCCCTCCACTAAAAACAAAATATATATGAAAATAAAAATGTAATACTTACGACAAAGAAATTAGATGCAATGAAGATAAGAACTATTTAATAAATATTAAATATAGCGCAGATATTATTTGTGGTATTAATATTAGAGGGATGCAGGGAAGTAGTGGAGGTATCTACGTATGATATCAGAGATGTAGTATTTCAAAAAACCTTAGCAGTGTGCTTGTGTCCTCGTTTAGGATTGTAAATGATGACTATATCAAAAGGTTACCATGGCAGTTTAGTGTTTGACTTCCATAAAGTTTGGAGACATGCAAGAGAGAGATTAAATGGCAAAAGGTAAAATAATAAGGCAGCAGAGGCCGAGATATTCTGAATTTTTGTCCTTGGTATGGGTCAAGCTCAAAATGCACTGATCCTACATATCCCATAATGCAACTCAATCTTACAGCTCTTCATTAGACCTGGTAAACACCCACATCTTTTAAATTCCACACCCCCTGTTAGTGACGCAGGCTGAGTGTCACACTAGTAACCTGATCTTGATATGTAAAATTGACAGAGTAGTCCTTTAATCCAGAAGGTAGCTGACAGATTATTTGGTAACTTTGTCCTCACCACCTCCTCTGTCCCCCCGTTTAGTTCTGGGAGTGCACGTCTCTGTCGTCTCTGGACACCTCGGGGACGGGCTCCAGCTCCGGCTCGGCCTCGGGCTCCAGCAGCGCCTCCTCCTCCTCTGTCTCCTCCTCCACCCCACTGTCCGCCTCCCGCTCACACAAACGCTCTGTGTCGGCGGTGTCGAACTACTCGACTCTGTCGCTGCCGCTGTACAACCAGCAGGTGGACGACTGCTGCATCATCAGGGTCAGCCTGGACGTGGAGAACGGAAACATGTACAAGAGCATCCTGGTCAGTTAATCTCCAAAATTTCTTTTTAAAGAATAATTTAATGAGTATAAAATATCGGTCTCTCTGTGATCAGCCGCTACAATCTGCTGAATATCTTGTTAGTTTTAGAGCAAGTTTTCTGATTGCATTGCTTAACAAAATTATACACCTATTAGTAAATAATTAGAAAGAAAAACACCCAAAATATAAACATGTAATAAACCAAATGGTTGTTTTTATTTGCCAAGATTCACATCTAAACCTTTAAAAGCTTCAAAGCAGTAAGAAACGTTTAAGTCGACTCTGACAAAGACGTCAGTTGTTGATGTTTCCCTCGTCCTTTTGATTCAGGTGACGAGTCAAGACAAGACTCCAGCCGTCATCAGGAAGGCGATGATCAAACACAACCTGGAGCGAGAGAAGACCGAAGAGTACGAGCTGATGCAGAAAATCTCTGAGGACAAAGGTACAAACTTATGACCATGTTGTTGCAGAACATATATCCACCATATGCTCAGTGAACAATAAATCATAATGTTCATATTTTTCTCGCCAACACGAAAGATTTTCACCAGATGAATTTAGACTCACTACATGTTGTGTCTTTTCTCCCTCTCGTCTTGCCCTGCAGAGCTCCGGATCCCGGACAACGCCAACGTTTTCTACGCCATGAACTCCACTGCCAACTACGACTTTGTGCTGAAGAAGCGCGGCCTGGCCCGGCCGATGCGAGCCAAGAACGTCGCCAGTTCGACGCTGCCTCGCATGAAACAGAAGGGACTGAAAATCGCCAAAGGGATTTTCTGAGGAGAAACGACGCACCACTTCCTGCCTCCCCTCCGCCCCCTTAACCCTCTCTGGTCTCCAACTTCTCAGAAGAAACATTTGAGTTCGGGTCTGTCGGAGTTGGCACACTAACCTGAAGTATCTGAGTTTTGGTTTGGACAGAGATGCCAGAGGAGAGAAATGACCAACCTTTCTGTGGATAAGCAGAAAGCAGAGGAGCACCTTAGCACTTAGGGACAACTGTTGTGTCATCAGGACCCTCCCAGGACTCTAAAAGGCCGAGTGCGACGCAGGAAACGCCCTGATGGAAGCTGTTTCCTGAAGGCTGCGAGTTCAGGACAACAAAAGGACACGTTTGTGGGAAAAACAAACAGCCGCGTTGGTGTTGGGCGCTGCTGCTCGGAGGCTAGTCGAACTCTTTACCAGTCTCCGCTCGGTCTGAAACATCACGCAACCGGTCATGTTGGCTCGTGGAGAAGACGATCCATCTCATTTCCTGATCCATTACTTTTTGTTTACAACTGTTTACATCTCAGCGTCACTCGGCCAGCTCTTAAACATTTTTGTCCAAGCCTCTTGCTTGATTTTTTTTGCACCTTCGATGAAACTATTTTTTAAAACCCCAGAGTCCCTCGGCAGCCTTCAACTTCAGTCTTCATGCACGCCCCCTCCTGGCATGGAGTGTACATACACGAACAATACGAACAGCCGGGTGTTCGAATGTGTTTCTATTTTTTCAGGGAACTTTTCTTGTGAGTGTACCGCCGCCTTTACCGTCTGGCCCCCGGGGTTCCTGATGTCGACAGTGTTTCTGGGACTGCAGCACTGAACTCTCCACTCTGCGGACGCTGGGACTGGTTTCAGCATTTTAACACCAGCGACGCTGACGTGGAGGCATCTGAACTCTTTAAACTTCTGAACGCTGCCATGTTACAAAAAGAAAAAAGGTCAAGTGAAGTGGAAACATGGTGTCAAAATCCAGTGGGCACAGCCATGAATCACATGCCAGTGTTTTCTTTTTGTTATTTTTATTAATGAATCGTAACCACTACACCGTGAAGGATGTGGCAGTCCTTTGATCGCACTTGACTGGGATACAAAATGTTCCCGAGGGAAGAACAAATGAGCTGAAAACAAAAAAAAAAAAGAACTGTGTGTATATATTGATTAACACCAACTGTGCAGTATATTCTTTTGAAACGGACCATGAGATTTTGTTAATAGACTCGTCACAATATCAACACTTTTTTCCATTTTTGCTTTGTACATTTTTTCGCATCTCTCTGCTCTGATATGGTGCTGCTGCTAACTATCACGTCACTGCTTTCTCTACTTCCTGAACGCCGCCGCCATGTTGGAAGACGACACGAGCATCTCTTCTCACCTGCGGAGTGAGACCTTTAAATGTTGGGTTTGCTATTGTCAGAAAATTCTGTCCAATGTATGGAAGCCCATTTCTGCCAGAAAAAGAAAAACAAGATTAAAAAAAAAACAAAAATACTAAACTTTGACTAATTACTCATAAGTTTGAATTACTATGAACAGATGTGACAGTAATGAGTATTTTCCCATTGATTATTCTTTCGGTCTCTCGATTAATCATTTAACAAGTTATTGTCTTAAATGAACTTGTCTTATCTGACAGTCTAAAGCTGAACGTTTATTAAATTACTGTCACATGAAACAGAGAAATGTAAAGTGATAACCATAGATTTTTGGTATTTTCACATTAAAAATGACTTAAACGATTAATCGCTTATCAAAAGAGTTGCTGATTGTTTTTGCTGGTCGACTAATCGATTAACTAGACAATTGTTTTAGCTCCATTCATGAGTATTTTTATCATTGCAAATTAATTAATTGCAAGAAAGAGTTAAAATATTTAGTTTATTAAATATTTTTTTCTTCTTGAAAAGCAACATTTTGACCATCGAAGACACTAAAAGCTGACTTGAATTATTATTGTTATTATTTTATATGAGGATAGTATGTCGTGTTCCTGAATCACTGCAGTAGAGAAACTCTGGGACACGAAACGCAATTTATCAAAGAATAAATAAATAATAAATATAAAATAAAATAAAATAACATAAATGTATCAAAACAAAATATTCTGTCAGGTTAGCATGTTTCTCTCGTTGTGGTCAGAAAAGAATATTCAACATTTTCTGTAACAGCAAACTGATATTTTGGTTTAACCCTGGTCTCCACCGCTGCACCAGAAGAAGAGATGGACTGTGTTTTAGTGGTTTGGTTCTTCCAACATGGCGGATCATCCTTCATATCCATCAGTAACCACTTTCCAAATGTGCCATGACAGGCTTGTGTGTTGCAGACGCACCCGACGCGTCCTGCTTATTTATCCTGCAGGACGTTCTTTCTTGCGGTGTCGGCTGTGCTTGACGTGCCGGTGTTGACAGCAGAGTCTTTCCTCTCTGGGCTCTTTCTCTCTTACGGAAAGTGTGGAAAAGATTTTGACGACATCCAGACGTGGAAAACTTGTCAAAATACAGAAAAGCTCCTTTAAATCCGGCAGTAGGAGCCCAGACGAACGACGGTGATGCTGCCAAGCTGCACACGAGGGAACAAACTCTTCTCTCTCTTCTTTCTGTGCTGTTCATGATCTGTTTCTTTCAAGGAAAAATCCAACCGAAAAAACATCTTATCACTGTTTTAAAAAAGAAGATTTTGGTGACGCATTTTCCATTTTTTGGGGGCCATGTTTCTTTTATTCCCATGGATACAAAGTCACATTTCTAACAGCTACAAAACTTTTTAAAGGGCTTCTTTTCTGGATTCTACATTTTCCCTCCGTTAGCTTGTTCTGTTGACCGTTAGCTTAGCCACAACCCCATTAGCTCATATGCAGCTACAATGACAATAGAGGCACGTTAACCATCAAAAGTCTAAGTTATTTCTTAAGGAGTGGGTCCCAAAAATAGACAAAAGCAGCTTCTCATTTCAAGCCAGCAGACTGCTGTCGCTAACAGATTTTGTCAGCCGTTGCGAGAACCCTGTAAAATGGATCCTTAATATTCACTTACATACATGATATCATGCTTAAGGCCTGAGGCTAATGCTAACTGGCTCAAAGTCCTCACCAGAGGATGATCCATTCAAAAAACATGGAAGTTAAGAAACAGCCTGTATTGACTTATTGGTCCTAGTATTATAAGTATGATGAGGAAAAACTGAATGTAATGCATGTCCTGGTTTTGGCTCGTTAGCTTACATACTTCACATACTTTTCGCATCTTTTCGCTTTAAAGATGAGGACTGACGAATGTGTCAACAAATGTAAATCTTTGGTAACACTGGCACGAGTGTAAACTTCCCCAAATCCAATGTAGAGCAGGACAGAGCCACTGACGTTAGCCTAAACTCTGATAGCATCCAGGACCAGCTTCCACAAACTGTAGAGAAAATACGACACAGTGGATGTGTTAGTCGTGAACAGGACATTTTTCCTTACACACAAACTGATGAAATGTTTTAATGATGTGCTTTTTGGCCCTGAAAGTAAACACCAAAAGCGATAATGATGTTAGCATCCACACTGATGAACAATATTGTTCTGTTAACAGTGGTGCCAAGAACATGTTGCGTGCTCCAGGCGGCAGTAAATTTCAAAAGGCCTTTGATTGGCAGTCAGAGTTTCTATCGTCGATCAAATCGCTCTGAAAGTGATCCCAACGATATTGTTTTCCAGTGTCGTTGTTGCTGTAGTTACAGTGTGGACTAAACTAAAAACGATGGCCCTTAAGACTCACTTACTTCTGAAGGTTGTAAAACAGTTAGCCGGACATGCTAACGTTTGCGGGTCTTGTTAGAGCAGATAAACCCACAGATTAATGCACGTCTCACACTTTTGCTTTTGTGTTTTTAGAAATGCTTAAAAAGTTACGAAACTTTGAACGTGCCGAGCTGTAGCTATGATTGGACAGTTGCTGTTGGGAGGTGGCGCAAAAAGCCTGTTACATCAACAGCCAATTTTCAGACCCTTTCCCTGAGTGCTGTTGCAGAGCATCCTGGGAAATGTAGGAAATCACCAATTAAGGGAAAGTGGCTTCACCAAAAATGCTTTATGACTGAATATCAAAGGTTGGATTCTTCCTGAGTTCTTCATATCACAACAAAACACTACATTTGCCTGGATTGCACTGCGACCATGTATTGCCTTTTTTTTTTTTTTTCTTATTTCCACCTGCATGAAGTTCATAATTCTCTTAACGATCAAGTGAATGAAACATATCCCCCGCACCCCTGAAAAACCCTGCGAAAGCAATATGGTGACGAGCGGCAGGAGGCACGTCGTCCAGCTGTCGTGGATGTTGTCCGTGCCCCCGTGGCGTGAAATCCTTCGCTGTTGAACACTGTGACCTTTGACCCCCTTTCACTCTGCCCTCTCTGCCTGTTGATCGGCGCGTCACGTTGAGCACTGTGAACTGAAAAAAAAAATTACGTCTCGTTCCCCCTTAGCGGTGTCGTAGTAAACATCCGCTTGCTCGTCTCGTTGGCGAGCAGCGAAGGCGTCAGGCTTGACCCTCCATGTGCCAAAAAAAAAACAAGGAAAGAGAGAAAAAGGTTTTAAACAGACAAGTCCTCTGCCTTTCACAGTGGAAAAAAAAACCAAGTTTATATGTTTACTGTTGTCGCATTTTTCTGGAAAACAAAAAAAAAGGGTGAAAACACTATGATGTCTGGACCCGTTTCCCTGTGGAGAATTAGATGTCGAGTCGTCCGAGAAACTTGAAGCAAAGATGTTTGTCCGGAGCTGCAGATGAAGCTGTTGTAGAAACTTTCATAAATTAATCCTCCTTTTTCTCATGTTTTAATGTCGCCTTTAATTTCTGTTCAGGATCAAACTGCTGCTGGATTTGCCTATATTCAAAACTGGACCGTCAAACCAGCAGCTCGTAACCATACAGCAGGTTTTTATTCCAACCAAACTTTATATCTGACATGAAAGAAACAAAGAATCTCACTCACTTTATTAACAATGTTTTAGGTAATAAAGTGAGTACAAGTGGTCGACATGTCTTAAGTTTTTAATGCTGCACACTCATCAAAAACACTTCATGGCGTGCAGGAACGTTACATTATTCTATATATTTCATCCCACTGGTGCTCAACATTTTACACAAGACTTTAATGTATTTTTACTTTCTTTTTGGCCAAGTTTCAGGCATGAAAACCACTTGAGAACGTCAGAACGTATATCAGAGTTCCTCCTCTGTTGTGTCGGAGCGACATCTTTGCAACATGACCTTTAATGCACCATGATGTCTGTAAAAAAGTGTTTTAGTATCTCCTACTTGATGTCATAAATTAATGTAGACTATGGAGCAGCAGTTCACACTAAAACCATCAACTTTTACAGATCCCTGAAAAAGACATTTTTGGCCACATTATTCTGTATGTTTGTCTGGTGGTCAAAAACTCCCATGAAAAGATCAAAACAATGTGTTTGTCCCTCCAGGATTTTGCGGTCTGATTGCTTTGACTGATTTCACGGCAACTGTTCTAAAAAATTGCGATGGTTGCTGCAGTGTTCGTAGGAAAATTGAAAAAATGGCTGTGATGCTGTCTTGGATTCGTGATGCCGCCTATCAAAGCAGCACTCAAGGATCGTCCCCGTTAGCTGCTCCCCTCATGCTCTCTCTGCCTGGTTAGCACAAGCTAACTCGGCACAATGTGATCTTATCCCTACTTGTCATCTTTCGCTGTGTAGGCCGAAGCCCCGCAGCAGTTAACATCCGACACAGAGCCGTTTATCTCAAACCGACACAGAAACGGCTCGGCTTGATTCTGCCGTTAAACCTGTTGAAAAACCCTTGGGTAACGTTAGCCGTGTGATGCTAACAGTTAGCCCCGTCACTGTGTGTCTGTGACTCCAGGCACAGAACCCCAAATCAATACACTGTATGCAGCTCTACAATAAAATGAGATTTTATCCTTTTTAAATAGTAAAACTTGGAGAAAAGTTACACAAAATTGCAAGGTTGTGCAGAATTCACACTTTGCATTAATTATTGCGACCACAACATCGCGACATCCTGGAGGGACTGGTTAGTCCATCTCTCAGTACTGTCTGACTTCCTTAGATTCTACTGAAGACGTAAATATTTGAAATATATGGCTTCTTTTCCTTATGTTTTCAAGGCTCATCAATATCCTAAAGCAGGTGCTCACTTTTCCAAACACACCTTGAATGCAGTGTAAGTTCCTTCTTTGTCTTTGGTTGGAATAAAAACTTTGTTATCATCAGGCCTTGAATTAAAGAACACTGTTTCCTGTATCAGTGATGACTTGTTTTCTGCAGCAGCTCCGTCTCATAACATCGAACATAAACATCGTGCACATGAGTGGAACTTTAAAATGAACTGACCCTGCGAGCGTTTCCGTGCTGATGAGGTTGATGTTGGACCGGTTTGTGTGTGTCGTCGTAGCCCGTGTTGACAATGACGTACCTTTTTGTGATTTGACCTGATTCTGTGCGAGTTTGAACAAAAAGGCTGCGTTTACAAGAAGAAGAAAAAAAAAACTTAAAAACTGGAAACCAGCTGGTGTGGTGTGTGTGTTTTTATTTTCATTTCTTTGTTTTGTTCCCCTGAACTGTGCTCGGGTGCCATTTTCCATTTTAACAAAAAAGAATTTCCGAACTTTTTCTAACTGCAGTCTCTTCTTTGTTTTACTTTTCCTACTTTTCCCAAGAACACAAAAACCCATGTAGAATACAAAACTCTCCTTGATTATGTCTTTGTTTATTTATTGATTTGTATATAGAGATTTTGTTTTGCATTGTACATTCTCTCCTTTCTTGGTTATAGATTAATATATTCATGTATATACGAATAAACATTAAGTTTATAAAAGTAAAAAGACTCTTTTCGCTTTATTACTGCATCCTTCATGTGAAGATTAAAGAACCAAGATTCATAACAACTGTGAGTAGATAGTACAGCTGCATCATACTGGGCTTAAATCAGAAGCACAGAGAGCTAAAATAATAAAGGGTCTTTTATAATTACTGTGGATGTTACACTGAACTTTTAAGTGTTAAAGATCATAATCAGACTTTTCAAGCATTACAATTTAATAATACAGTGGGGGAAGTATTTATAGTAGCACATTTATAGTGCAGCTATTCACATAAAATTTAGACCAGTCATTGGTATTAACTCAGCGAAACTACACAGATGAAGAAATCATCCAGACCATAAAAATGTTAGGTGCAATAAAGTGGAATGATACAAGAACACACTCTGGAATTTGGAATTTATTTATTTGGTAGAGAAGATGCCCACATTAAGCTGAAAAGAAACCAGTGACAATTTGTTTTACAATCTTTTGTCTTAAAAGTAATTTTAGGGCACTGATTTCATTAAAGAATAGCAAAAATAAGATAAGCCTTTATTGATCCCTAGAGAGATATTTTTGTAGCAGCAGCAGCAGCAGCACAATGACATAAAATAGGAAAAAAATAAATGATTTTACCTTTAACCAGAAAAACCTCTTGGAATTAAAAAACTCTTTTTCAAGAGTGTCCTGGCCAAGACAACATAGAAGAAAAATGCAGAGTAAAAAATGTACAGCTCTAAAACAAACAATATAAAACACAAAATAAGATTACTACAAAGAAAAGCCGAAAAGTATGTTAATATATACTAGAAGTGAACCATAAAAAGTAGAATAGAAGATTGTGTACAAAAACCCTGCAACAGTACTTAAAAACGGCTGAGAGGAACCACAAAGTGCAACTTTAAATTTTTCTGCGGAAATTCCACATATAAGGAACTGTGCATACCCTTGGCACAGACAATAAAAACAATAATTGAAATAATTAGAAGCATATGAAACAAAAACAATAATAGAATAGAAACAAGCTGTAAAAAGCAGTTACACTCAAAATTACAATGCAAGTTGTGGTTGCGCACAAACATTACCCACAACCAGAGATATACTTGGTTAATAGCAGCAAAGTGTCAAATTTGTAAAGTAATATGACATCAACTATACAGTGTTCAGAAGAATAGTATATATATATCTATATCTATATATATATATATATATACATATATATACAGTACAGCAATACAGTACAGAATATAAAAGTTTGATATGAGTTTAATATAGTATAATAAATGGTGATTATAGTAAAACTACCACTGCTAATAATAAACATAATATTTTAAAGACAGAGTAGCGACTGCTGATGACGTTATGAACTAGGGTTACGTCATCTCTCAGCGTCAGGACGCTCTCGTGGTTCGCGCCTGCGCAGTAGCACAGAGCTTTGTTATTTCATTTCAGTATGGCGCTTAGCAAAACATTTGGACAAAAACCGGTGAAATTTCAGCTCGAGGAGGATGGAGACTTTTACATGATCGGATCAGAGGTTAGTATTTCACTTATTCAACAAACCCCGTACTCTAAAGTGTACTTATCTAGCAGAAAAGTGTCGTTTAACTCGGCAGCCGGTCCGCTAGCAGCCAGCTAACCAGCTAACGATGCACGACAGCGCACGAATACTCATTCATTGTTTTGAGGTTTATTGTTCATTTAATTAAAAATAGTCTTTAAAATAAAACACATTTATCTGTATGCTGATTTATGGGGTAAAGTTTGACCTTAAAATGTTCGTCCTTCTCCTGAGGTTCACCGGGTTATCTGCGGCCGAGCTAGCTATCGTGAAACAATTAAGCTAAGCTAGCAAGCTAACGGTGCTAATCCAAAGCAAAGCTGCTTTATTTGGCGTTATGAAGGTTAACTGTACTATATTTATAAAATATACCATATGTTATATAGTATACGTATATAATTTGTTAGACACATACCTGTTGAAAACATATTTTTGTTGTTTTACGTTTTTTCTCTTTTTTTTAATGACTAACGTTACGTGAACACTTGACTTGTAGCCTAACTACTGTTAGGCGTTTTATTTTTATGTTATTCTTATCGTCGTTAAACGTTTTATATAATATTTGTATAGTTAAATACACTTATTTTTTACCTACTTGTGTGCATCATAGGCCAGTCTTCTTTTACCCTCAGTTGTTCCGCTTTGTTGTTACTTCTCGTAGCTCTTATGTCTATTTCTATGTAAATTCGTTGAGGACAATGCAAACAAAACTGGTGTCAGATTCCCTCAATGTGTACACGTGGTTGGCCATCAGGCTGATTCTATTGCTCGTCTCATATTATTTATACATGTCAGTAGTACTGCTACTTGCACAATAAACCGGTGTGTATTTTACCAGACTGTCAATGCCATGAGTTTTAATTATTTTTACAAGAAAGTAATTAAAAGTAACATTGTGTGTTACAGTCAGAACTGACCTGACTCAGTTAAAAACTGGTTTTCAGCAGGTTCCTGTTGTGCAACTAAAACACATTACAATACAAAATAAAAACAGAAACGATCAACAGAGGCAAAACAACAAAATGTAGGCGGCTACAGAGACAATGCAGAGTAGAGGACTGAAGTGGGGTGAGAAAAATGAATTGTTTTGTGGGATGTAAAAGAGGTTATTGCTCTAATGTACAATGCGATTTCAATCCAGATCTTAGTGTAAGTGTGACAAAATTATCTCTGACCATCATTTTTTAAATATATGTAGCCAGAGTTACAGAATTTTAATAGCTATGAAAGCAGAAACTGTTTTGTATAGGGTCACTAAAATAACAGCTTTATAAATATCTTATCTGAAGACCAGTAGATGCTCAGTGATTAGAAACAGCTTTCAAATAAGGTACACTACCAGTGAAAATATTGAAATCTGCTGTTGTACTAATGTATTTTTTTTCCTTCAATAATGTTTATTTTAGGTGAGATTTAAAGCATAATTTAGACACCAAATCTCTTATTTATTATTGAAATAGTTTTAAAGAAGAATTAAACATTCTAAACATTAATTAAGCCAATTTCCCATCAGTGTTGAATGACAGGGGAAAAATTTGTTTTCCAGTCCAGAAAAGGACAAGTGAGCCTTGATAATTACTGAACCATAATGGTGCAGTTGGGCTCTAAATATTTAATTTGGCTGTGTTGTTAGTGATAAGATTGAATAGACTCAAGCTGTGCATTAAGAATCTGCCTTCTTATATCTTGATTCTCTTTTTCTTTCTGTGTGTGTGTGTGTTCAGGTGGGAAACTACCTCCGTATGTTCAGAGGCTCCCTGTATAAAAGATACCCATCATTATGGAGAAAACTGGCATCAGTAGAAGAACGGAAGAAAATAGTGGAGTCATCACACGGTCAGTAGAGTGCAGTGCTGACACATCTACAGCTGGGTGGGGCTGTAGCAAGCTTTGAGTCCCCATCATTATCTCTAAACTCTATTGTTTCCTGTAATATTAAAGGCTGTTGTATGTAAAAAATTATGGACTGCAGACTCTTTCAGTCGCTGTTATTGAATAGAACAAACTAAGTAGGGTCTGTCAATTCATTTATAAGGAGACTGAGTCATTGTTTTAAAAGATTTTACCCTAGAACAATTGAAGGAGCTAATCTCAAAGACAGAAAATAAATAAAATATGACAGTAAACCTCAAGTTAAATGATATTTCTATTTTAAAAGATGACAACATAATGATCTTAAAGAATATCTAAGCACCGCATGTAAAACCACATTGTAATGTCACTTACGTTTAAATGCATTTATTTAGCTTTAGAGGTTAATTGTGGGGGGGAAATTGTGATAAGGAACCGCAGTTTGACACAGTGATTATCATTTCAGTGGTTGTCGTCTTGTGTTGATTTGACTCTTGTTCTTGTCGCTCAGATCACGGTTACACTCAGCTGGCCACCAGTGTGACTCTGCTGAAAGCTTCGGAGGTCGAGGAGATCCTCGAAGGAAACGATGAGAAGTACAAAGCTGTGTCCATCAGCACTGAGCCCCCAGCCTACCTCAGGTAACTCCACTGCAGTCAGTCACCTCTGAAAACACTGTGCAGACAGGGCGTGCTTTTTAGGAGCCTGTAATGTAATATTTGTAATGGTAGTGGGAAATGGTGAGTCTCTAAAATTACATTAACTGGAGTGTTGCTCTGTTTACATGTTGGGATCACGTCAGAAGAGGTTTCTCAGGTCATGTGTAGCCTCTAGTGTTTTTTGTTGTTGTTTTTTAATGTACCAAAGTTTATCGTGAGTACTAGTTTTAGTCATTGATCTGATGGTTTATAGGCGTACACTTCAGGAAGCAATGTCTGCTGCAGTTTAATACTAACCTAAGTCTTTCTAGGTATAGATGCACATGCATATACATAACTATGATATTGTTTAATTTGATTTTAATTTAAATATTTGTGTATCTGCTCTGTGTGTTCAACATGAAGGGGCTACAACTGACTTTTCATTCTGCAGCCCTGTGTTTTAAAATGACAAATGAATGTTGTAACCTTAAATAAAAAGCAGGAAAAAAGATCTGAAAGGCTCTTTTCAGCACAGTATGACTCCGGTTGTTGATTAATACTTGATGCTTGAAACCTAAGATTATTAAGAGTTGTGTGGGACTAATTTGGAAATCAGATACCCTGTAGTAATAATGACATCACCTCTCCCCCTCCTAAATCTTTCCAGTCAAAGTAGGATGCAACCTGTAACATTTAAATCTATGTTGGTGAGATGTAAAATGTACAACGGGTCTCACTGGAGTTATTTAAGATGGAATAAAAAAAACCGACGCTCTCATTTTGTACAGTTTTCACACATACCCACCTGTGTTGTTCTCTCACCAGGGAACAGAAGGCGAAGAGGAACAGTCAGTGGGTTCCCACGCTGCCCAACAGTTCTCACCACCTGGACGCCGTGCCCTGCTCCACCACCATCAACCGCAGCCGACTGGGCCGTGACAAGAAGAGGACTTTCCCGCTGTGGTGAG